ATGGCCCATGACATTTTTCTTCAACATCATTGATGTCGCATAAATTGATCCAAAATTCCTAACATTTCCGCACATGCTTTTAAGTTTTCTTTTAAAATATCAAAATACATGTATTGATCCATAATACCATCTATAAAGTGTAGGTTACCCACTCCTGCTGCCGACATACAGCCCCAAACTAACACAGAACCTCCCCCATGTTTTACAGTTTATCGTAAATTTTTAGGTTTTAACTCTTCGTTTGGTTTTCTCCATACCATAGTTCGTCCATCAGGACCAAAAATATTAAATTTACTCTCGTCTGAAAATATGACTGTTTTCCAAAAGTCATTACTTTTGTTTTGGTATGTTTTTTTTTGTGTCCTTTTTGTACCGGTTTATTATACATTGAACTGTAGAGTGGCTTCGGTTCACAGTTCCGCCAATTTTTCGAAGGCTTTCGCCGTTTTCGTAATGGAGGATAACCAATTTCCGAACGTCGGCGTCGCGTCGCACAGTGGTCCACAAGCGGTAAAATGTGAACGAAAATCAAATTTTCGAAATTTTTTTTTCGTTTTTTTTTACATGTTACATGTACTTTAGGTCCTAATAGACTGAGAGGTGAAAGGAATAAAGTGTTATGTACTTTCTAGTGCTAACTGTACGCAATAAAACAGTACTACAATTCTTGTGTATTAAATATCATAAAATGCTACAACTTTAGATGAAGAAAATATATTGTGTTCCACTTTTTCAAGACAATGCGTTGTTGCTATCTTGAACAGTATAGAAAGGTCTTCATTTGGCACTTTTCTAATTTTTAAAATATTTTTGCAGAAATACGTAATAAGCACTTCTTTTAAAGCTAATTAACACCTACTTGAAGTTACAACCAAATGTTTTAACATATATATCTCGCAGAAGACGCAAGAAGAACTTTTGTCGCTAGAATATTCTTATTCTTTGAGATGTGCTCTATATAACATGATAACCACATCTTGCTTTAACTTGCTCCTTACCAAGATATTAGCGATCAAAGATGATCAGTGACTGAGTGTGTTATTGGACCGTTTTCATATAAAATGCTTATATTCTTTTTCTTAAAAGATAAATCTCGTATATTTGGTGTAAACTCGCATAACAATAATAGAATACCAGACTTAAAGTTTCAGGCATATCTAACAACCGGAAGTGGTTGTTAGATACAGTGCGGCAAAAAACTGGAGCACTTAAAATATCTACTTTTTTTATAAGTACGAAGGCTTTCACGGCCGAAGTTAATTGAACTAAAATTGGAACTAAAACTAGAACTAACACTAGAAACTTTCGGGTTTTGCCGTGCGTCTTTTAAGAAAAGGTTTGACGTTTCGGATGCCATGTTGCAACCTTCTTCAGAAACACTTCGAATCAGTTTTATTAAATAATATTTAAAAAAAATTTTTTAAATGTTTCGATAATTATCCAAATGTAAATGTAAATTCTATATTACATTGTAAGTGGGGGTTTGATGGTAGCGGATGTCATTCTACTTATAAACAAAAGTTCATCACAAATGCAGAGGGAAAAGATGATTCGCTATTTGTGTCTTCCTAGTCCCATTACGATTGGAAGACAATGATAATAATATTGTATTGTGGAAGAACCCCACACCATCATCTATACGGTTTTGTAGACCGATTAGATTACTATGGGTGCATGAAAATGCCGCTCTTATAAGAACCGAAGAAAAATATATACAGGGTGATTCACATAAGAACCGACACAGAGCAGGGACATGTAGAGCACAATAAATTAAGATGATTTAAAGTAACTTACCTCTATACTAAGTTTTACACCTGAGGAGTTATAGGCCCTGAAAGTTGGCTCTTAAATTTTTAAAAAGTTTAATATCTTCATAATAAATTAAGCTAGAAGAACCAAATTTGGTATACGTTATGAGTATACCAAGGGTACTAATTGGTAGCAAATTGAACTCAATTGAGGCATTTCAAAGGGTTGATTAAGGGTGATGGTACCATACATTTTGACAGATTTTTTTAACCTTTTGACGGATTTAATAAATTACTACTTCATTTCATGTGGAATTTAATTCTGAAACTTTTGTTACTCTTATTATTTTTTAAAAAACTTTGTCGTTTTCATAAAAAACTTAAATAACTAAAAACACTTATTTCGTAATGTTACTTAAAATAAGCGACAATTCAGTAGTCGGCTATGAAATTGTACGTCAAAGTTGACAAATAGGTTATAAAGTTATTTGACAACAAGGTATTATAACCTATTTTTTGTCAAGTTTGACGTACAATTTCACAGCCGACTACTGAATTTTCGATGATTTTAAGTAGCATTAACGAAATACATGTCTTTAGTTATTTGAGTTTTTTATGAAAACGACAATGTTTTTTAAAAAATAATAAGAGTAAAAGAAGTTTTAGAATTAAATTCCACATGAAATGAGGTAATAATGCATTAAATCCACCAAAAGGTTAAAAAAATCTGTCAAAATTTAGGGGATCATCACCCTTGATCAACCCTTTGGAATGCCTCAATTGGTCTCAACTTGCTACCAATTAATACCCTCGGTACACTCATAACGTATACCAAATTTGGTTCTTCTAGCTTAATTTATTACCAAGATATTGAACTTTTTAAAAATTTAAGAGCCATCTTTGAAGGCCTATAACTCCTCAGGTGTACAACTTAGTATAGAGGTAAGTTACTTTAAATAATCTTAATTTATTGTCCTCTACATGTCCCTGCTCTGTGTCGGTTCTTATGTGAATCACCCTGTATTTCAAACCAAATAAGACCCCTTCAGCCATATACCTCAAAATGTGTAAGTGTTAACTTTTCTTCTTATTTCACGATGGTAGATGGCAAGGTATAAAGTCTTCGTTTTCTTAAAGCTTTATTTGAATTATTCATACATGTTGTAGGTCTGTAATTCTTTGATGGGAATTTGAAGGAATCATCTCGAATGGAATGTTATTTATGCAGAGCAAAAATTTCACAGATGAACGGTAGAGCCAGAAGGTTTTAAGTTTGGTTTGTCTGTTCTCCATGCATACATTCGGTTTTTTGTGTGTCTGCTTCACATTTCATATAGATTAGAAATTAGAACTTGGAAGGTGACTAGTTCATACGTAGTTTTACTAAATTATCATCAGAGATTACTGGTATGACAATTTTATAGTAAGCGCGCATGTACTAATCACTTTCTTCATTTAAGGAATTGACGAGGAACTAATACAGCGATTTGGCGTTGTTTTGACTGCAATAAACAGTGGGTACAATATTAATTACAATGAATTTGATAAATATTGTTTCAAAACTGCCGAAAAGTACGTCCATTTTATGGTTGGTACTATATGCCAATCAGCGTTCATAAAATTTTGATACATGGATCTGCAGTCATTAAAGAAGCTCTACTACCTATTGGAGAGTTGTCGGAAGAAGCGCAAGAAGCTAATAACAAAAAAATCCGAAAATTTAGAGAGAGCCACACAAGGAAATGTAGTAGACTGGATACGAATGAAGATCTATTGAAAAGACTGCTACTCAGCCCCATTTCACCCCTAACGAACCAGTTACGTGAGACACTCTGTAGTTAAAGATTTATTTATAGAAACCTTACATCGAAGTAAACTATATAACCATTTAGTTTAAACAATTTTATATTTAGCTATCCTTCACGATTTAATAGCGTTGTATAAAATTTTGTATTTATCCAATTCTAAGGACCTAAATTATATGAAAAAAATAGACTGTGGCCTCAAGTAAATTAGTACTTCCGGTTGACATATTTGATCCAAAAGTTCACAAAGNACAATTCAGAGTAAAAGATGCTCAGTATGTCCCGCAAGTATTGATCGTAAAAGCACAATATGTATTACTTGTAAAAATAATATCTATTCTGTAATGAGCATAGTATTAGAATGTGCACTAAATGCTTCTCTAATCCCTAAAAACAATAAACAATAATGTTTTTTTAACAATAATGTTCACTTTCATATTTAACCTCGCGTTTGTAACGTACATATGTATAAATAAATAAAGTTTTACTTCAATAACTTTGTTTCTGTTCTGACTACACGTGATTTTATATAACGGGTCTCACAATCAGAAGCCCGGATTATGTAACTGATTAATTTTATTGGTTAAGTAACTTAGGGTTAAAGTCGTCCAATAGAGACTTCAATAGCGGAAAAAGTTTATTTCTCTTTCCGTGTCGAATTGGTGAGCACACGTGCGAAACTAGTTTAAAATGGCGCGGTGGACCGGGCGGGGGTGTGACCGATTGCCTGAGTCTGATCTACGATCTCCGAAGACGTTTCCCTCAGCTTTTGTTGAATCGCTATTGGACGACTTTAAACAGTTCCCGTGCGATTATAATAAACATTTTATTATAAAAATTTTATTAGCAAGATCGCTTCAGAATAATGTATCCTACAACCGCATAATGCTCTGATGCGGAAATACGAGACACCTGTATATAACTAGAAAAGATTACGACCTGCTTGGAGAAGACTAAAGATAAGATACTGTTTCCAAAGGACTTTTAACGACTTCCAGAATGTTAAATATTGTTCGAAAGACTACTAATTGTTCGGAGAAAGCTAAACATTGTTGGCAAAGGCTATTTAATGCTTTCAGAAGACTATACAGGGGTGTTTCCGTGACTTGGGGAACAAATTTAAATTGTTGAAATTAAATCGATTAAATACCCCAATCACGAATTTTTTTCAGTTTAAAATCCTACTACTACTACTACTATCTTATAATAATGTAAAACATAGTTTTCATGAGAATATATGCAGCCCCAGGGACGTCACAACAGTGATAACGCATAAAATAGTCACAACGCAAGTTAAGGGTTAATAATAAAATGCATGGTTAACATTGCTTGCGTTTTGTGACGTCACATCAAAACTTTAATGTGATTTTTCGATATGTTCTACACTTTACCTGACTTTCTTTTCATTTTTAACGTGTTTTTTGGGTCATTTCACATTAATTAAAGAAAAAATCGTCGATTTTTAACCCGCATTTATAAACAAATTAATTTTAAACCTAACCTCAAAAGCAATTGCAGCACTTAGCGTTTCAAAATCATCCTCAACATCATCATCATAATCGCAATTTTCATCACAATTACGTTTTTTTCGTTTCTTAACTTTTTTTGGAGGGGGTTCTCGCTCCCCAAGCATATTTTTTGCACATTTATAACTCAAATGGCCCGTTTCACCACATTCGTAACATTTACTTTTATTTGGATAATTCTAAAACAAATTATTTTATACTTCATGATTTAAATGAGTTGTGGTGCTAACTTTTCGTCGAATATATTCGGCGCTTCTCCCGTTATCTTTCGCGATGCTACATTTTAAAACCCTTCCAAAGGTTTGTTTTTGATCGGTTTCTTCGACGCATTTTTGAGCATCTTCTTGTTTTAAGAAGTAGATAAATGCAACACCTTTACTTTTACGCGATAATTTATCTTTTAATATCGTTACTCTGCAAAAGTAAGAATTAATTTAATTAAAAAAAAGTTTACATAACCTCACTTTATAATTCTTCCGTATTTCTCAAATAATTTATGCACATCGTTGTTACTCAATTCAAACGGCAAATTTGAGACGTAAACAGTACTTTTACTTGGGGCTAAAGAGTTCGAATTCATTTTAATAACCTGATTTATTATTATTTAGGTTTCGATTCTTTTGAGGTTATGTTTTTTTATGATATAGAGAAACACCGATAGATGGCGCATTTAAATTAAATATATTTTTTTTTTAATTTATTTATAATAATAAACGTTTTAATGTTATATTAAAGCTAAAAAAGTCGTATTTAATGATTATAAAGATATAATTACGTTATAAAGGAGAAAGTGATTGAATTTTTTTCTCATCCCATGATCTAAAATCCAAACAATAATAATTGTAAATAGCGTGAACTCTTATAAAAAGAACGCAAACAAACCGTACGAGTTTAAAATAGTGTTGGGACGAAAACGTGCTTGAGATTCTAATTAAAAAATTCCAAAAACGTACTTAAAAAAGCTAACGAAATCGACCAAACAAGTTTTGCGACAACATTTATAAATAAAAATCGTAACTCTATTTTTAAATTCGTAAAAATCGCGATAAATCACGCCCAAGTTTTATCGATAAACACGTAAATCGCGGTTTATTAATAATCTAAAAATAAAATCTTAAAATAATCACAAAGTAAATCATCCCGAGTATTTGCATGTTTGATTGTAGCCTAAAAATGTCAATGTCAGAAAGGTATTCAAGATGGCGGTCGCCAACTTGACATAAGTAACACCTCAAAAATAACGTTAATCTCAAAAAACACTCCAAAAAGAAGTAAAAAAACTCGGCGTAAATCGTTAAAAAATAACCGGAAGTGTGCAAAAATTAACCGAAACAGTTCACGTTATGTTAAAACACACCCTAAATTAATTCAACAATTTCAATATCCAACAACATTAAAATTATGGTCATCAGCTGATGTTAAAACACCAAAAAAGTTAAAAAACGATGATGTAACGAGAATAATTAAAGCAAAATCAAGGAATAATTGCGAATTTAGATAGGAATCATGGAGGCAATGCAATACGAATTAGCTCGGAACATGACATTGTTGTTCTTTTTCGAACGATTAATGGATAAAGGTGAACCAAGAACGTTACACGATCTTAGTTGCCAATTTGGGTCCAAAGGGTTCACCAAGGAGATGCGTCAAATCGCCGGAGGTAGCCAAAGTGGGTTAAAAAAGTTTTTATCGCAATACCCCTCATTATTTGCCATCGATGGTGATTATGTTAACATTAGAATGTTCCAAAACGGGAAGGATAACGCCAACGGTAAGTTTTAAAATTATAGTCATATTTGTGCCAAAAATTAGTCTTAAAATAAATGTGTGAGTAATATAGCAAATTTAGTAATAATTTAATTCAAATTTAATAGATTCGAACAAATCAATAGAGTGATTTGTTTGAAAGGTAAAAAGTAAAGAAATTAAAACGTTTATTTTAGTATTGGTGAAAGTATGCAAGATACAGTTATAATTAAGGAGGAGTCGTCTATTTGAAACAGAGTTGCATATCAAATGAAATTGAGCGGTTAAAACTGTAAATTGAGACGAGATTATAAAAAAGAAAGTTAAAAAATAAATAAAAAATCGATTAAAATTCATTTTAATCTAATGATAACCTCAAATTTTTTTTTGACATCTGTCAAAATCAAAAGGATTATATCCAATATACAGTATGTCCCTGAATTAAGTTACAAAAAATCGATTAAAATGCATTTTAATCTAAAGACAACCTCAACATTTTTATTGAAATCTGTCAAAATCAAAGGATTTATATCCAATATACAGTATGTCCCCGAATTAAGTTACAAAAAATCGATTAAAATGCATTTTAATCTAAAGACAACCTCAAAATTTTTTTTTACATCTGTCAAAATCAAAGGAATTATATCCAATATACAGTATGTCGCTGAATTAAGTTCCAAAAAATTGATTAAAATGCATTTTAATCTAAAGACAACCTCAAAATTTTTTTTGACATCTGCCAAAATCAAAGGAATTATATCCAATATACAGTATGTCCCTGAATTAAGTTCCAAAAAATTGATTAAAATGCATTTTAATCTAAAGACAACCTCAAAATTTTTTTTTACATCTGCCAAAATCAAAGGAATTATATCCAATATACAGTATGTCGCTGAATTAAGTTCCAAAAAATTGATTAAAATGCATTTTAATCTAAAGACAACCTCAAAATTTTTTTTGACATCTGCCAAAATCAAAGGAATTATATCCAATATACAGTATGTCCCTGAATTAAGTTCCAAAAAATTGATTAAAATGCATTTTAATCTAAAGACAACCTCAACATTTTTTTTTACATCTGTCAAAATGGAAGAAATTATATCCAATATACAGTATGTCCCCGAATTAAATTACAAAAAATCGATTAAAATGCATTTTAATCTAAAGCCAACCTCAAAATTTTTTTTGACATCATAAAATCAATTCAGACGTAAGTATTATCAATTACATTCTCTTCGTCTATAATATTTTCAGATTTCTAGATCTTTGTCTGTTTTCAAGGTTTATAAATAACTTTACTTTTTGCAATTTGATTAGGCCGTTCTCGAGTTTTTCGAATTTTTCTAGAAAAATCTGCTCCAGCGGACATTTGTTCAAAAAATCATAGAACACTGGTTTTTTGAGATATCAATTTAAGATTCAGAACATGCTTAAACAACATTATGGAGTATGTATGTTTTGGTGCCGAGAACGGCTGTCTAGATCGTTTGTTCACTTTACTATGACACGTTAACTTTTCGAAATTTGGAAGCACCATAATTCATTTTTTTAAATGGCACCCCCCATATTTTATTACTTAGTTGTCTTCGGCGTATCATTTTACATCTTTTATACTCCATATGGCCTATGCTTAACATTAATAGTTTGAGAAATAATTAGGGTTTTTTGAAAAATGCTTACATATCATATCGATATTAACTTAGTATATTTATATTATACTATATTAACCTCGTCAAAGTCTGATTTACGTTGTTTGATGCTAGTGAGTCTAAAACCAGTTAAAATGGATATTAATTACGTAAATAATGTTTACACAAATGAAGAAATCCATAATTTATTTTTTGTGCACGAAAAGTGTGATAAAGTTCTTAGTAGAACTTGCAGAATGTTTAATGAAAATTATCCACATATTATCCATATAAAGTAGGTGGCGACTTCTAGTATAACCGGAAGTGCAAGAAATTTGAAAATATTTTAGTCGAAGAGATCGTAATTGATAATACTTAAGTCTGAATTCTCAAATTTTTATTTTCGCCAAAACCCCAGAAACGTCTAATGACCGGTATCGTTGAGACACCCTGTATGCTCATATAATAATATACTATTTTGTAATTCGCTACGGTAATGGAAGCTATAACAGTACTCAAACGGGTGCTGTAATGAGACTCCTTACAGCATCCGATGCTGTAATGAGATTTTAGTAACATTTTATGGAACCAGTTCAAGTTGGTGACATTGGGTCATTAATTTTTCTAGTTGTCAATGTGACAATTTTTGTCTATGGATGTTTAAACACGTTCTTAGCATCGAATACAAGGTCCACAATGATGAGGACATTGAACTCTGAGCAATTTCTCTTATTTTGGGAGGTGTACATGAAACATTTTTTTCAGGTGAATATATTTTGTGTTTTGACAGTTTCTAATTGTCAATTCAAAGTTTCTATTTTCAAGTGTTCCGGTGTTACCAACTGCTACATACCTATTTCCCTACATTGCCAAAATTTACTTTATTTTTGTTAAAAAAAAGTATAAAAACGCGAATTACAAAAAATAGCATAAAAAACACGTTTCATAAGACTTAAAGCACTCATTCATTAAAAAACTCGTGGCTTCGCCACTCGTTTTTCAACTTGAATTCGTGCATTTCAAGCGTGTCTTACGAAACTTGTTTTTTAATATACTATTATCTACAACTATTGAATTATCTATTCGTTATACATTTGATTTTTGACGGGTAATGACGCATTACTCATGACTGACAAAGTGTTGAATAATGAGGCCATTATTCCACAGTTCTGACACGGCCTACTAATCAAAAAATAAAATATTAACAGAAATGACAGCTTTCTTATATTGAGGTTATGTCTGAAATGTCTATCAAGCTTTTTCTTTTTTTGTATAGTATTCAACTTGCGTATAATGGATGTTACTCACTCAGATTACAACACTCGCTCGTGTTGCAACTTCATCTTCGTGGGTAATAACCGCCGTTATACGCTTGTTGAGTAATATACTATTATTCAATTGTTGTTAAGTTAAGTTTGTTTAACTTCTATTGTTAGATTGTTAGACATCTGTCAAAATCAAAGGAATTATATCCAATATACAGTATGTCCGCGAATTAAGTTACAAAAAATCGATTAAAATGCATTTTAATCTAAAGACAACCTCAAAATTTTTTTTGTCATCTGTCAAAATCAAAGGAATTATATCCAATATACAGTATGTCCCCGAATTAAGTTACAAAAAATCGATTAAAATGCATTTTAATTTAAAGATAACCTCAAAATTTTTTTTGACATCTGTCAAAATCAAAGGAATTATATCCAATATACAGTATGTCCCCGAATTAAGTTACAAAAAATCGATTAAAATGCATTTTAATCTAAAGACAACCTCAAACTTTTTATTGAAATCTGTCAAAATCAAAGGATTTATATCCAATATACAGTATGTCCCCGAATTAAGTTACAAAGAGGGAAAAAAAATTTTATTACTGATTTTTCAAACTTATCTCAGCATAAATAATGCGTTGGATATGTTCAAACTACTAAGGGCCGGTTTATCAATATCTAGTTAAGACGATTTATCTGTCAATTAAAATTGTAGCTGATAGATAACGTCGACGAATCGTTTATCCACCCGTAGTTTAGGGTAATCTTATAGATAAATATGACTTTTGGATACCCACCAGCTTGAAGTACTGGTTAAGGGGTTTACCTATTAGATCATATTAGATATTGTCAAAAAAATGTGAGCACAAGTTTGGTTGCTTGGTGAAAGGAAATGACAATGAAATTAAAATATAATGTCAAAAATAAATTAAGCTTATAATTGTGTTGATGGATAAGCAAGAGAAAGAAAAGATCATCAAATTTCATGCCAAATCTCATGGATTTGGCAAACGACTATAAAAATGTTATAGAAAAAAAATAATAATATAATCTATAATCTAATATAGTATAATCTCGTCTTAATTTTAACCAAGATTGACAAAACTGTGTCCTTTTTTAACCGAAATCTAACAAAAAAAAAACGAGGTCCAATTCCTCAAAGTGGTTTTGACTTTTGTCTTTCTTTTATAATATATGGTCGTCGTTTATAATTTAAGAGTTGGACAATATCCTCATCTTTATCGCTGTCTAATAAATATTCATGTGGGAATTCCATTATAAAAGAGGTTTTCGAAAACAAAGCACACGGGAATGATAACCTCCAAAACATCAGCTGTTTATATCAACTTCATAAACTAAAGTCAATTATTCAAATTTCACCAATTACGTTTCATTTCCGTTTCTAATGTTAACACTCAGGGGTATCATGTATGTTCTATCTCGTAGGTTGCTGCCTGTCGGGTAGAAAGTTGCTGGATAAACGGTTCACTGAGGTTATCTGTTAGGCAAATTTATCCATGAGTTGCGTATCTAACAGATTTAACTCGGCATTGATAAACCGGCCCTTAATCGCACGAATTTTATACTCTAACTATAGAAGTTAACTAATTATTCCCATTTTTATGTAAAAATTGGACCTTTTTTTGCAATTAAAATTTTTTTCAAGTTCAATTTATGATATGTATAATAGAAACCATAAAAGTTACAAGTTATGTTAATGAAAAATCAAATTAAAACATGGGTAAATAGTTGAATAATAGTATATTATTATATGAGCATACAGGTGTCTCAGCGAGACTGGTCATTAGACGTTTCTGGGGATCTGGCGAAAATAAAAATTTGAGAATTCAGACTTAAGTATTATCAATTACGATCTCTTCGACTAAAATAATTTCAGATTTCTTGCACTTCCGGTTATACCGGAAGTCGCCACCTACTTTATTTTTTTAAATGGAACACCCTGTATATTTTTACATATTTAGATTTGTCTGCTTTCAAGGTTTATAAATAACTTTACATTTTGCAATTTGATTCGGCCGTTCTCGAGTTATTCGAATTTTTCTAGAAAAATCTGCTCCAGCAGACATTTGTTCAAAAAATCAAAAGAACACTCGATTTTTGGGATATCA